AAAAAGGCATCCATGCCTGATATAAAGGAATTGAGAAATAATCCAAATCCTCAAAGATGTCTTTCATAGCTTTATTGATAATACTGGTGATTTTATAAATATCTCAGATGCCCATGAGAGCATGAACCTTGGCACATATCCACTTGTTACTTGTTGCGAAAGAATGCACCCATTGAAAAACATGGTTGTAGAGACTGTGTAGCAACATGGAAAGGGCTATGGTAAAATGTTAACTTAAAAAAAAAAAAAAAAAAGCCCAGGGGTGCCTAGGTGGCTCAGTCGGTTAAGCATCTGGCTTTGGCTCGTGTCAGTATCCCAGGGTCCTGGGATCGAGCCCGGCACTGGGCTCCCTGCTCAGCAGGGAGCCTACTTCTCCCTCTGCCTGCCGCTCCCCCTGCTCGTGCGCTCTCTCTCTCACTCTCTCTCTCTCTGACAAATTAATAAAAATCTTAGAAAGAAATGAATATGTAGTGTAAATACATTTTTACATATCCAGATTTCCATTTCAGTATTCAGAAACAAATGTATAGTTGCGGTGTCTGCCCTGAGCCTGTGACCAGTGCTTAGATGCCCATTTTATGCCCCATTATATTGCATTTTATTCCTACAACACTAAAAGCAAATCTGCTCAAAGGTGGCCCAATTAAAAACAAAATCTTCAAAATCATGAGGATTTTCTGTTTGAATATCTGTTCCATCACAGTTGTAAGAATGATTGCCACCACCATTGAGCCCCACTATATCTGGGTGCTGTGGGAGATGCCTGAGGGCAAACCTGGGTGCCTGTGGGGACAGTGTCTTGTTCAGGTCCTGCCGCAGGAACACAGCGGAGCTGGAATTTCATCCTCAGCCTGAGTCCAGAGCTTACACTTTTCCCCTCTACCTCCCAGGCCCTTGTCATGCCTTAGTTTCCAAGTAGAATTTAAAATACAAGCAAAATAATTCAGACTACTTGCAATATTAGATTTTGCATTTTCTTTTCAATCATCCTGATTCTCAACTGGCATTTTTACAAAGACACTTTGCCCCTATGGCTTCCCCGTCCCCATGAAAACTGATGTTCTCTGAATTTTCAAGGATAACCTGCCCAGCCCAGATTCCTTCTAACATCCCAGGACAGGTGCCCTGCTAGGCTGCAGCTGAGGAGGTCATTTGCCCCCTCTTCCCCCCTTACCAAAGGTGAGCCTGGAGGTGCCTAAGGCGGGTAAAGTGTTTGATAACAGACTTTTCTTAATCTGTTTTTAGCCTGTTCAATCAGTGTTGAAATACCAGTGATTCCTTCTTCCCTGCTTCCTCCTCTGGTGGAAGTTTACCATGTAGCATGTAGCGTGCCTTAAAAATACCACCTCTTCCATGTACTCGTTGTCTAGAAGTAGTTCTGTAAAGCCGTCCTAATGAGGCCAATGACTCATGTTTATTGATAGATTTGTTTCCAGCAAGAGGTCAGCTAACTTGTCACTCCTTAATATATAGGTTTGGGACTAGGTGAAATTACCCAAGTGTGAATCCTGCTTATTAACTGTTATTCTGTCGTAAAACAATCCCCAAGTCCTGCCAGTGTTTTCTTCTCCTCTTCTCAAGTCAGTCCCTTTCTCAGCCTCCTTTTTGCTTCTCTCCAGCTCAAAACTGCATACACTCCTACCAGGGCAACTGTGGCGGCTGATCTCCCTGCCTCCTGGCCCTGGGGAGCCAGGGGGAACCCCCAAAAGCACAGTTTGACCATTTACTTTACTGCCCAGCTTTCCGACCCACTAGTGGCTCCCTCAGCTGGTGACTCCGGCATGCCCAGGCCTTCGTGCCCCGCCGCGTGTCACCCCCTGCCCGCCCACTGCATGTGACTGTCTGCTCCGATCTCCCCAGACACCTGCTGCCTCCTGCCCCTGAACATTGTCCCGACCCTGCTGCATTCTTCTCCACCCCTACCCTTACCCAGCTCACTCCCCGTCCTCCTTTAAGACTGCTCCAATGTCAGCTCCTCCAAGAAACTATGTCTGCTCTCCCTTCCCTGCCTGGGCCATCCACCTCCACCTGCAGTCTCCGTGCAGCAACCTGCACTTAGCACCCTCTTGGCGCTCACTCTTCTCGCCTCTGTTCATTCCTCTGGCCCTTGCATAAGCCTGTGCTGCTGGCGGGGTCTGAACGGAGTAAAACTTCCCTTCTGGCCACCAAGGAAAACGGATCCCTGGAGTGGGTGCAAAGTCCTCACAGCAAAAACTCTGTTGGACTGAGTCGGCCCCATGTCCCATGGCTCCAGGATGAGTGAAACCATGGCTGCTGATTTTAAGCTGAGCTTATGCACCAGAGCTGTCCCTTGAAATTTCTCCCACAGTGTATGAAAGGGCTCTGTGCTGTCACTGTCTCACCACGCCTCATCCCAGTTATTAACATCCGTGGCTCTGTAATCATCACCAAAGTACAAGTCCTGCAGATAACATTCTCAGAGCTCTTGTCTGTGACGTGAATGCTTTCCCTGGAAAGGACAAATAAATCAGATGCTTCAGAGAGATGGTAAGTGGCAGACTCTTCATCATTCCTTTGAGCTTCACTCTTCCTTGGGGCTCTGGAATGAGCACCAGGGACAGACACGGAACACACGCAGGAAAATACAGATGTCACCTGGCCCAAATATGCAGGCTTTCAGGAGACTTGACTTGGGATGTTTTCTTTTTGTTTTTCATGTGACTGTGGTGCAGATGAGCTGCAGGCCTCCCCTCTATAAGCCCGCCGCCGCCGGTATACTCCACAGGCAGTGTGATCCCAAGAGGACAGTGTTAGGGTTTCCAGAGGCTCCCAGGCCAGTGCAAACTGCATATCACACATGCTACGTATAGATTTGGCTCTACCTAAAGAGTGCAGAAAAGGTTTTTAATAGCATCTCAGTTGTCTGGGCAAAACAGGGTCTAGCATCTTGAGGTTTGGTTTGGTTTTGTCAGTGACAAGTGGGAGCAGGTGGTATAGACAGTCCATGAGATCCCTTATCAGAGTGGTCAGCGAACCCTGAAGCTTCAGGTCAACGGGCCTCCCTGAGACCTTCTGGTCCTTTTTAGCCCCAGGCCCTGGTGTCTGTGTCTGTCACGGCCAGGTGTCCGCAGTAAGGCCTCCTGGAGGGCGTGTCTCTGTCCTTCACGGCCCTGTAACCTTGCTGGATGTCTCTGCTTGGTCACAGCATGGCCAACAGATAAATGCATTGTACTTCTACACAGTGAGCTCACCACCAAGACTCTACTCTTCCAAAATGGTCCTGTGAAAATGAACACATGCACATACATGCCAGTCTATTTATGTGAGATTCACTTTCTTATCAGAAACAAGTAATTTACATATTAACAGGATGATTAGCTTCTGGCTAAGAATTCTGACATTTTAGTACCACTATTTAGAATCAGGCTAAATTTGTCAAGTGACTGAAAGTGAAGTTTTTCAGAAATTATTAGCTAATTTTTTCAATATAGGATTTATAGTCACATTAGTATATCATAATGATGTTTCCAGGATAAAATACCAGCAGCTCAACTTTTCTGGCCACAAATGTACAACATATATCAGTTTATTTTTGGAGATCTGAAGAATTAGCTACTGTAAATAAAGTCCCCAAGAAGATTTCTCCGGGAAAGAGGTGAACTTACAGTAATATGGGTGATATATTATTAATTAATAACTATGACCAGTGCTGCTTCAATTAAAAGGAAAATGGATGAGAAGGCCTATTAGAAAGGATATGCTTAATCTCACCAGCCCTGAGGTCTACAGAGCAGACTAGGGAAGGTTGTTTCTAAGGCTGTCTGCAGGAGGATGTCACCAGCTGCTCCCCAGTCTGGGAACTTTGCTGACTGCTGACTACGTGTCTCTCGGAAGCATTGCTCATTTGGTTGCCAGTAATGGAAACCAACTTCAAAATAGCTTAAGGAGAAAGAGGACTTTCTTGGAGGGCCACAGAGTCTCCCATAACTCAAGGGCAGCATGTGCTGATGGGCCGGGGAGGGCTTCACTTGGGACTGAGACAGGCTGGCATCCGTGTCTGCTTAGAATAGGGAATCTGGCATGTCTGGCCCAAAGGACAGGCACATGGCACCTGTCTGCAGGCGTCACGATCTAGTAAGCAGGTTTCTTTGACAGGCCACATATGGTACGGGAGGCTGCCTGAGAAGGGCACCTAGAAGTATACCTATGAAGCCTCGCCCAAGGAGGCACCAGGTGAGCTGAGTCACCCAGGATCGGCAGCCCTTTTCCAGACAGTTTAGCAAGAGAGGACATGCCAGGCCTAGGCTGGTGGGAGTGTGCAGTGCCACGGGCCTGCCTGTGCATGGGAGTGAGATGAAGCGAGAGGGGTAAGGCACGAAGCAGTCCCAGAAATGACAAGGTTATTCGGAAGGTGGTGGGAAAGGGGCATGAAAGAATTTGGTTCTGGGAGACATTCGTGTATTGAGAGGATCTGACCCCCTGAGGTCGGACAGCTGTGTGAGGTGCCATCCTCCTTGGGTAGAAATGACTGGAGGCCCAGGAGCAACTTCCCGGCAGGGTCACCAGGCCAGGACTCCCCAGCCCTGCCGTAGCCAGGGCTATGGAAAAGCCCCCTGATAGCATTACCAGCAGCCTTTGTCCTTCCTATTGCTCATTTATTTGGCTTTAAGCACAGTTATTTTATTTTTAGAGTAATAATATGGAGTTAATTGGCCTTCTGCCTTAAAGATACCACCTCTTCCAAGGACTCGTTGTCTAGAAGTAGTTCTGTAAAGCCGTCCTAATGTGGTGTTGCCCTGAACACACTTGGTGGAATGAGACCTAACTAGCCATTTGATTTTGTTTGTTTGTTTTCCTGCCCATTTTCTCCCCGGCCTGTGATGAGAAAAATAACCTGCCCCCAGAAACAGTTGGCCTTACCGCGTCCACTTGCTCTCGCTTGAACTGGAATGCCACGGGGAGAATATGGGGTCGCCTTTCCAAGGGGAACTCACCAGAACCCCCTCAACACTGCCTTTTCTCTCTTTGTCTCTCTCCAGGTCACGCAATATTTAAACTCACGTATCTAAGCAATCACGATTATAAACACCTCTACTTTGAATCTGACGCTGCTACTGTCAATGAAATCGTGCTCAAGGTGAGTGTTCCTCCCCAGGCCGGGCACCGGGTGTGCAGGGCCGGCTTCTACACAGCCAGGTCTCAGGCTGGAGGCAGCCCCCTTCCTCCCAGCACTGGACAAGGCTCCTGGGCCCAGTTTGCAGAGGACAAGCGGCCTTCTGGTCACCCAGGTGGGGAGCATCCATACCCAGGGCCACACCACAGGTCAGCTGCCCTTCTCCCACTTCAGACAAAGTAGGACCCCTTCAGCTTCCTAACCCAGTCATCCTGGTTCTTCGTGTATTTATCCTTTTCATGCACCGTGTACTTCCTCCCATTCATTGTCAGGAGCTCCTTGAGGCTCCTGGAACGGACTCAGAGGAAATTGTTGTTATTAGGGTAAAGACGCTTAGCGTAGTCAAGATAATTTTAGCAACCTGTTCTAAACATACTCATCTCTATGCTACAATCGTTTGTTGCCATAGCTCAGTAGCGCTCACTGAGCACCTCCCGTGGGCCGGGCGAGTCCTTGGGATGTTGCAGTGACAGACCCAGGCCCTGCCGCCAGAAAGCTCTTCCTCTGTCAGAGGAGACAGATGGTAACATTAAATTACAAAGAGATTGTTAAACAGTCACAAAGGTGCCATGTGGATGTGAAAAAGGTAAACTGACCAGGGTAGGGGGTCGTGGGGCTCAGGGAGAGCTGAACCCTGAAGGATGGATGCAAAAGCACAGATTTGACGAGGCGAGCAGCGAGAAAAAGCGTCTCAGACGGAGAGCAGCCTGTGAAGGGATGGAGAGGCAGAGCGGGCACGTGTGGCTGAAGCGGAGCAGGGTGGAGAGGCCAGGTCACACAGAGCCTTGCAAAGTGGGGACAGGCTGAGAAAGGCTGCCCGGGGGGCTTGCTGGTTTGGGAGGCCTGGGGTAGGGCCCGAGACTGAGCATCTCTAAGAAGTTCGCGGGTGCTGCCCAGGCTGTTGGTCTCTGCACCGCACTCCAAGGCACCCTGGACGAGTGGTTTCAAGAGTCCTTTCTTCCAGCCGAATCTTATGTAGACGGAACAGATAGAAACACCGAGCTGCTTGTTGCGGCAGAGCACGACTTGCAGGCAGAGGGCTCCCCACCTGTAGCTGTGTGACTCTGGCTCGTCACATCACCTCAGGGCCTCGGTGTCTCTGCCTATAAAATGGAGATCGTAGCAGGTGCACTGCCCCGCCCCAGCAAAGGGCTGCTAGAACACAGATCAAATGCAGTAGCGTAAACCTACCTAGATGAGTATTCATTCTCCTCTTGAGAGTAAAAGCCATCAAGTAATAATAATGGAAGTAGCTAAGCCGGGGGCGCCTGGGTGGCTCAGTTGGTTAAGCGTCCAAGTCTTGATTTCAGCTCAGGTCATGGTCTCGGGGTACTGGGATCAAGCCCCACATCGGGCTCCTTGCTCAGCCTGGACTCTGCTTAGGATTCTCTTTCTCCCTCTCTGTCTGCCCCTCCACCTGCTCGTGTTCTCTCTTCAGCTTTCTCTAAAATAAATAAAATAAAATAAAATTTTTTAAAAAGTAGCTGAGCCGTACTGAGGGATTGCAGAGTACAGGGATTGCAAGTACACTTTACACCTCCTTCCGCAGAACCTTCATGGTTCTGCGAGATAGTAATGGAAAATCATTCCCATTTCCTAGATGAAAACTGAGGCTCAGAAACAGAGAAACTTAGCCAGGACCATGACTGACAGAACTGGACCTGACCCCAGGTTTGGCAGCTTCCAGAGTTTGTGCTCCTAACCCCCTGCATGTGTGTACCCTTGAGTTGAATGAGAGGTTTCAAGCAAACGGCATTGTTTTGCAGATACATTTGGAGGTCAAGTCCTCGTGGCTACGAAAGATTTCCAAAAGTAGTAGATGAAAATGAAAAGGATAAAGCTGGGCGCCTGGGTGGCTCAGTCGTTAAGCGTCTGCCTTCGGCTCAGGTCACGATCCCAGGGTCCTGGGATCGAGCCCCGCATCGGGCTCCCTGCTCCGCGGGAGGCCTGCTTCTCCCTCTCCCACTCCCCCTGCTTGTGTTCCCTCTCTCGCTGTGTCTCTCTCTGTCAAATAAATGAATAAAATCTTAAAAAAAAAAAAAAAGGAAAGGCTAAAGCTGCTGGGGGGACAGTTGGGACCAGAGCCCACCTCGGACCAGGCGGTAGGACACAGCGCCTGCCTGCAGTGCTCGAAACCAGCAAACTAAGGGTTACTTGCCAGATTGTCACCAGACAGCACAGGGAACTTGTTCAGTGTTCGGGGACCAGGTAAAGAAATATTCCATTACCCCATCAGGGGCTGACCTTTTTTTATAGCCAGCATTAAAATATTCAAGACTTCAGAAGGATTCTAGTAAAATTATAATCCTGTGTTTGACATCAAAATAATTTTCACAACAGCAGATTGATGACAGAAACACAGGTTTATGACTTCAGTATGAGGCTCTGCAAGAGCAAGTGCAGAGAAATCATTTTACAGGACCAAATGCTCCCTCGAAGCAGATGCTTTTCTGCAAAATCCCTGAGGCCTATCGCCTCCCCTGAAATGTCTGTTTTCATATGAAAATGTTTGTAGAAATATTGCATCATGCTCGAGACGCCAGGAGAGTCACAGCGTGCCCAGGCCTGATTTACTTAGAGAGCTAATGGTCATGATCCTGATGGAAGATTAAATTTCACTTTTTCTGTCTCTGATTTTTATAGCAATTTAAATACTTAGCCTTCTCTGCCATCCCCACAGTGTCTGAGCTTTGCACCAATACCAAGTGACTGAGGCCCCAGCCCTGTGTCCCAGAGTTTGGCCAAAATGTTTCCACCAGCGGCTCTTCCAGGAGTGGGTCTTAGACACAAGTGATGCATGTGACGGTTCTAGAATTCAGTTTGACGTAAAATGAGAGCCTTAGATGGAAACTGAAGGAGAAGATAAGGGCCAGAGGCCGATGTCCAAGAAACTGTTATGTATCTCTCCCATTTATTGAACACCAGCTACATACAAGACATCTTACTTAACTATTCAGTCTTCACTATTGCCCTGCAGAGTGTAGGGCATTATTTTCCCCATTCTGTAGATGAGGAGACAGAGGCCCACGGCCGCGGAGTGTGCGAGGGTGGAGCCTCAGCTCCAACCCCAGCCCTGAGGAGTCCCTTCCACCCCGAGCCATCATTGAGCTAAGCCATGTGTGGTCCCTAATTCTGCAGGTTTTGAGATGAATCTCAGAGGAACCATTGGTCTCTTCAAATTGGGTTCTTCTTGTGATCGAGTGATGGAGGCTGTGGCTTTATTGACCATGAAAACTCCCTATATTTTTATGCCTTAAGCTGTAAAATGCATTGAAAGTGAAACACTCTATAGTGCATAAAATTGTGCAAGTTTTAAGCCACAGCATATTAACCAGCTAATGGCAGACCAAAGGGCGTTTTTATCTTTTGATTATTACATTAATCTTCCATTAAAATTATCTATGTGATTATCACAAAGCACTGAAGATAATAAATTTAGGAGATAGTTGGCTAGTTAAGGATCATTTTTAAATGCTTTCGTCAAGTTATATGTGCCAAAAATACACTGAAAACACTAGGTTGGCTGAGTGTGCAAACAATATAATCCAAAGATGGCTCTTATTAAGAATGATAAAAACTCTGATTTCCATACATTGTCCGTAGTGTCCCAAATCGTCAGCCCGGCCCCACGGTCCTCATGATTTATTGCTCTCAGCTGGTAACTCGGCGAGGCAGTGGGCCAAGCACGTCAGGCCTTCTGTACTCACGCACCAGCCTTTAACGCCTGCTGCTGGTGACTATCCGAGCAGAAAGTTTGGAGAGGACAGTGTTGGAGCCTCGGCCCACGGGAGGCCCGCCATCCTGCCTGCCTCCCCTGCACACCCTCAGCTTCTTTCTCGGAGGCAGCAGGGGCTGCTCCCACTCGGGGCGTGGGCACCCGACCCTCAGAGGAGAATCAGAGGTGGTGGCAGTTCTCTGTAGTCAAAAGTGTTTGGGCTTCTGGTCATAACTTACAGATATTTGAGAGTGAAGAGAAAAGGTGGTTCGCTCACGAAAAGCCCCAGCCAGAGGCTGGCAGCCGGAGCAGAGGGAGGATCAGTATCTGAGGGGGAAAGGGGGTGGGAGCACTTCTGGGGAGGCCAGGGGCCTGGGGAGCTACAGGTATGCCAGTCAAGGGGGATCCTGGCCCAGGCACTTACTAGCTCTGTGGCCTTGAGTAAAGGACATTACCATTCTGTGCCTTGATTTTCTCGTCTGCACAATGGGATGATAGTGGCATCTGTCTCATAGGCTGTTGTGAAGGTTACGTGAGTTAGTCCTTGAAAAGCACTCCAGCAGCACTGCTGCGACCACGCCATCCGGCCAGGGGTTCAGCCTCCGCACTGGGGCCCAAGTCCCATCCCAGCACCACTGCCCTTCCCTGGCTCTGCCCGCCCCACCTGGACTGGGCGCGAAGCAGTTAAGTTCCCCAGACACCCACCCACCTACCCCCGCCCCAGCCCGGCTGCCATCCACGGCTGTGCTGGCATACGTGCTGGTTCTCCCCTGCCCCTGGTACACCCCAAACTCCTATTTATCTCTCAAAACCCAGCTCACACATCCTCGGCAAGATTTCCCTGCCCCACGGTACGTCCCCGGTAGTTACCCCCTTCTTTCCTGCTCCTTCTGTTGCTAGTGTCACACGTGTCCTGCTGTTGGATACCCGCTAGGCAGTGAGCTCTTCGGAGCAGGGACCGAGCCCTACTTTTCCCTCTGTCCCTCGAACCGAGCCTGGAACCAGGCTCAGACGTGGCAGGTACTGCCCTGGGGTGGCCCGGCGGCGCACGCCTCACACGGGACTTCCACAGCCCCTCTCCTGGCTTTGACCCTGACCTCCGGGTGATCCTGGTCAGCTCGGCCCTCTTCCTGAGTCTCCTTCTTATCAAATGCACCCTGGCTGGCAGGGTGCCCGTGGGCAGCAGACGAAACCCCATAGTTGGAAGCTCTGTACCTACCAGGGGGAGGCTGAAAATAGAGCCTTGGGTTCAGTTGGTTTTTCATCCCTGCCATGCTCTTGTCTTTCAGACAAGGAAAGACGGGGGCGGGGCTCCGGGGAGTTATGTGCAGGCCCAGGCTTGCACAGCAGGTAAGGAGCAGAACCAGGAAGCCTGGCGCACGGCCTTCTGGGAGGCAGCACGTGCTGAGGAAGGGTCACAGGCTGTGGAATCCGGAAAGCTCCCCCCAACCCCCCATAGGACTGAAAGGCCCGGACCAACCACTGGTCCTCTCCAGGCCTCCTTTATCCTGTCGTAAAGTGGGCTCCATCCCAGCCTGCCAGGTTGCTGTGATGACTCAGCTCCACGCACAAGAGAGCAGCTGGCCCTGGGGCTCCCAGCCCGGGTCAGGGCCCTTCCCTTCTTTGCCCTGAGCGAACAGAGTGGCTGCCGAGTGACCGGGCTGTGTCCTCTTGCTTTCTAGGTTAACTACATCCTAGAATCACGAGCAAGCACTGCCCGGGCTGACTATTTCGCTCAAAAACAAAGAAAACTGAACAGACGTACAAGCTTCAGCTTCCAGAAGGAGAAGAAATCAGGGCAGCAATGACACTGGCCTCCAGCCCCAATCTGTCACCATAGCTCAGAGCCTGCCTGCCAGGGTCAGGTGGCCCTAGAGCCCACCCCGAGTCCTGCAGTCCTCGGGGGCAGGCCACCCCTGGCTCACAGACACAAGGCTGGGGGGGCTCTTGGGGGAACGGAGCTGGGGACATCTCCACGGGACCGAAGCCTGAGTGGCAGTGGCTTTGATGAGCAGTGCCAGGGGGCCCGACGACACAGACGACACGCCCAGCCATCTTCACTGCCCGACAGCCCTGCCTGAGGATGTACATAGCCATGCCCAGACATTTCCTTGCAACTTGATCAAATTTCTTAAAACAAACGAAGAACAAAGATGTACATTTCTTTTTTCTTTTTTTTGCTTTTAATAAACAGGTGTACTCTTTATCGTGGTTGGTATGATGGGCCGTTCTTTGGGGCAGAGGATTGATCATGTCATTCTCTTTAAAACCTGTTCCCATATTGAACAGGCAGATTGGAAAAGCTATGGCTCGATTTCTCAGAAGAAATGTTTAGGGCTTAGTCAATAGTTTTAACTATGCCATTTGTTTAAATGAGTGCATTGCTTTGAGGATACTATCTTCCTAAAGTTAGGATGGGGGGCCTGGTGGTGTGTGTCCCAGGCTCACCCCTTCAGAAACCACCTCTCCTCCGCTCGTCCTGGCACCTCTTGGGTCCAGAGACGCAGGACTGTGGGTCAAGCACGGGGGCGCTGGGAGAGTGGGGTGATGGCTGGTCTTCAGGTCACACTGAGCTCCCGGCCAGAAGTGGGCTTTTCCATTTCTTCAATAACAAGGGTGTGTTTCAGCCAGCCATTAGTCCTGCAGGTGGAGTTTTCCTGGAATTGGCAGAATCTCTGCTCTACTGACTCAGAAGGGCCTCCGCTCCCCCTTCTTCCTCTCCACGCAGTGCCTGCCTCCTTGTCTGAGCAGGCAGGAAGCTGCAATTTCTCCCTGTGTTGGGGGCGAGGGTGAGCAGAGGCGGCAGGCCCGGCAGGAGCCTGCTCCTGCGGGCTCCGACTGCTCGGGCGGGCAGGCAGGGGGTCGAGCACCCGCCGACGCCACACCTCTGGCCACACCAGATGCCTCCGCGGTCCTCACCAGCCTCTCCAGGGTCCCTCCCAGGGTGACATCCTTTCGCGCTGTCTCCGGCCGGGGTTGAGGACCAGACGTTTCACCGAGGACCTGCATTTCAAACAATTTTTTAAATTGTACAGGAAGAGATGTGCTGAAAACAGCATCTCAAAGTCGAGTGTGTTTCTTTGCACTGGGGGGCATTTTAATGAATTCCCCTTTCATTCTGATCTCTGTTCAGCCAACAGAAGCATCCTTTTCTAACGTCTTCCATTCCCGCCCACCCCAGAAACGAAAGAAATATTATTTGTAGCTTGCTATCTCTCTGTATTTGAATTTTTAGCAATTTTATATTTAGATATCTTTGAAAAATGTAAATGACTAATTTGGTCATTAAATCTTGTGGCATATTCAATATTAAAATATTAAAATAAAAGTCAGATAAATACCATCTTTTGTGTATCGCTTTGAACTCTTGAGTACGTTATCCTGACTCGCGAGTCTCAGAGAATCGCTCAGGGTAGTGGCATTTGCTGCCAGTTCTCGTGGTACCGAAGGTCCCTGAAATGCACCGTAGGCCTCCTTAGATACTGACCAAGACAGGATGACCCTCTTCACTCAGGGGCGACACTCAAAGCTTCACCTCCCTCAAGTACAAAACCAACACCATTGTCGTGACATACAGCACGCCGGCAGTTACGGAAAGCTCATCTGTCCACCCGAAGGAAGAATTTAAAGGGGAACACTGTGAAACCTCCCGGATCAACCGAATATCAGGACTTTTGAATTTCAGCTTTTCCTCGGCCCCTCTCTCACCACCCCCAACCTGGATTTTAGGATAAGACCATGAGCTCCTCGAGGACAGACTTGACCAAGCAGGAGCTCAGCATCCCGAGGTAAACGGGTGACCCTCAGAAACCACTGCGGCTCTCCAGCAGCATCTCCTGACCTGGCTCCCACCCCGACGTGCTAAGTCCCCACCAGGGCTCCGCAGGCCTCGGCTGGCCGCTGAGGAGCGCCCCCCATGGTCTGAGGGCCGCCAGCATGGCAAGGGCTGCATGCCGGCCCCTTACAAGTAAGTGTGAGCCCACGTACATCCCCCCGCCCCGCCCCGGCCAACGCGTGGCAGGTCCTGTCATTGCCTGCGTTCCAGAGGTGAGGGCTTGGGGCCTGGAAGGGTCTCACCGGGACTCTGAGCCCACAGCCGCGCTCTGACCCCCACAGCCAGCAACTCCGTGGGGCCTCAGTCTCCTCCAGAGGAGGGGACCTCTGCAGACCTTTCTAGAGAATGTCGTAAATGTCTCCATCACAGTGAGTCCAACCTTCCTTCCAGGGGTTTCTGTGTGCCAAAACTTGCAGGAGCTTCCCTGCTTCTGAGCAAGAATTCTAAGAAACACTGTGAGGCTGCTTAGTCCCTCCTCCTCTCTGGGGGCAGCAAGTGCATGTTCTCTCCCGGAGTCTTGGAGCCTCTGCTTGCACACCTCTAGCAATGGGGCACTCACTGCCATTTGGGTCAGTGCTTTTCCTTGTTGGCCCATTTGGTCACCCTGGGCTACCTGCACCAGTGGCCACCCCAGAACCCACCCAACGCGCCTCAGCCTCTGCATGTCAGATCCCCCTTTCCACCCCGAGCGCCAACTGCCTCCTAACCCTCCTACCTGGGCCCCAGGACCGGTGTCCCCACTGCCCCAGAAACCCCATCAGCTGCTTGGAGACCACACTGACATCCCTCAGAGTCTTCTCTTCCTGGGCTAAGAAGCTTATCCCCACCCCTGTCGTGTCCCCGGAAACCCACCAGCTGCTTTCAGGGTTCCCGTTCCCCAGGTCAGGTTGCAAAACCTCAGAGGCACGGGGGCGGGGGGAGGGGGGCGAAGTTCTGACATAGCGGTCAAGATGCTCACAGTCTGGTGAGGCCAGGGAGGTGGGCGGGTGACCCCCAGGCCACACCAGACTGAATGCCATGGAGGCTCTGTGGGGGCCCGCATGGACCTGGAGGCCTGGAGGTGTCCCCGGTGTCCCGGAGCTCCCCGAGGGGAAGGTGACACAATGTGCAGGAATACGGCAAGAAGCTGCCACGGGCCCTCACCAACAGGGCTGACGAGGGCCTGGCATGATGGCCCCCGGCCATCCATCCTCACGCCCACCTAATCTCATCCTCCGCAGGAGGTACCCGGCGGAGTACGCACGGTCCCTCACCGGAGGCCCTGCAGTGGGGAGGTGGCAGAGTCGGCTCTCCCACCGCCCACCTGCCGCCCCCCCCCACCCAGCCGGCCTCCGCTGGGGGCCCACGGTGGCCCATGCGACCCACACGCCCCAGATCCTGCAGGCGCCACCAAGGCCCCGCGGGGAGGGCCCTGCTGTGGGGAAAGCGGCCCAGGAGGAGGAAAGAGTTAAGCCTGTCATGTTATGTTCCCACCAAACACCTCTGCTTAAATGCAAAGTCCCAACAGGGTGGTGTTGGCTATAAAAGCCCTAAGAGTGATTTGTGAAGTCTCGAAGCCCTGTAATCTCGTCAGCGTAATGGGATTATATTTCAAATCACCACAGCCTGTTCATTACCCATTTAAACTCCTCTGACAGAGGAAAACTTACATGAAACGTGCAAGGCAGCCCTTGCGACTTCCCCACTCTCCTTCCTGATTAGACAAACAGATGCTGAGGTCTGGAATGAAAAAATAATGTGCCCATTTATTCATTTTTCTGACAAGTCACAATAGATTTTTAACTGCCAATGAGTGACCTCCCGGAGGTGCGGTGGCGGGGAGGCGCCCGCCAGGCAGCGAGTGGTCATTTCCGCCCGCGCCAGGCCCTGCCCTGGCCAGGATTCCTCCGGGGACCAGAGCTGGCTGCCAGGCTGAGCCACGCTCCCCACTCTGTCCTAGCCGGGGCTGAGGATGCGCTCGGCTACCCGCTGGACCTCTCGGCTGTTGCCACCCCCAGGGGCCCAGGGGCCTCCTCCAGGACACAGCCACGGCCTGAAGTCAAAGCCCCAGGTAGGAACTCCGACCCTGCCCTTGATTAAGGAGCCTCAGTTTTCCCATCTGTAAAATGGGGAAAGTAAGAGAGCCCATCTCAGTGGTGAGGGGTCAGGGGCCCGGCTTGGGCAGGTGCTGCCCTCAGCTCCCACTCTGGGCTGCCTAGGACGACTGTCCCCAGTCAGTGCCCCCCAGGCTGTGACAAGGAGAGAACAGCCCACAAGTGCTGGGCCTTCCCTTGACCACGTCCTCTGGCGGAATAGGCCTTTGTGGACAGTTACTTGCTGGGTCACGGGGCCACAGCATGGGGGCAGAGGAGGCCCTCTGGCTCTCTGCTCTGTGACGAGGCCTGGAGCAGGGGTGGGCTGGGGGAGAGGCGGCTGGGATCCCAGCTCTACCTGTCCCTGAGGCACCCCCGCCCCCAATTCAGAAGCGGGACACTGCTCCTGAGCTGGGCCACCGGCTGGAGGGAGCCCTATGGCAGTGAGTTGAGTGAGGCATCAATCAGATAATGTCACAGGCCTGGTGCACAACAGAGGCTGGGTAGCCATGGAGACAAGGGTGCCCAGGCACATAGTCGCCAGGAACACACTGGCCAAGTCCTTCCCTGCCAGCAGGACTTTGGGCCTCAGGGGGCAGCCCCAGCCCCCCAGGGAAGCAGCCTCCAGGCCCCCCTCTCACCACCCCTGCCTGCCTCTGGGGAGGAGCTCCAGGCAGGACTCCCATCTTTATGCATTTGTTCTATGAATACATAAGAAATACTGTGAGGCTAATTCTTTTTAAAATGATAAAATTCATCTGTGTTATAGCATTCCAGCCCCTAGCTTCCTGAAAGCTAAAAATATTTTAATGTCATATTTCCATGTAAATTTTAGTTTAGAGTTTAATATCCTTTTAACATACATTAAATTTTTAGCATTCTTCAAGCCCTTGACTCTTTTAAGGATTTAGCTGATGTGCATTGGAGAAAAGGGCTGGCGAAGTCTGTAAATTAGGAAAGTTCTAGAAGCAAGGTGGCCCCCAAACCTCTGCACCCACCGCACCTTGGGAGTTACTCCTCTGGGCTGGGGAGCACCTGAGTCAAACCCTGGGATCCTGGGGAGGTGTCAGAAGTCTCCATTTCCTTGCTAGAAAGAGTAGGTGTGACTAGCCAGTGGGGCCGAGCACATGGGTGCTGCAGTCAGGGTGGAGTCGGGCCCTAGTTATGCCATTTGCCGGCAGGTGACCTTGGTATGCTTTCCTGTGCCTGTTTCCTGGCCCCCAAATGGGGCCAAAGTCAGCTTGTGCACCGGTGATATTTGAGTGAATGCACATGAAAGGGGGTGGTTATCGGCTCCACAGAGGAGGTGAGCTCCAGGGTGAACTGGCTGGCCTTGCCGAGGGGTTCAGAGGGATGACATGTGTGTAAATTTGAGTAGATCGTTTTTGGTTGATCTGTACCCTGCTCCAGCCCCTAGAGTAAGATCGCAGTCACCCCCGCCACACACACACACACACACACACACACACACACACACACACACAAGGGTGTCTTGGCAAAGCCTCCCGATTGGCTCAGGGGCTGCAACCTCACCATACTTCTCCTCCTGGGGTAGGCCAAGAAGAGCCAAGAGGGGGCTCTGAAAATGTCAAGGAAGGGTGTTCACAGCTGCCTTTGGGGGAAAGTAGGGTAGGGGCTTCATGTCCCTTAGGACTTCTGAGGTCAAGGTCTGGGGCCTGCCTGAGAGTTCTCCCCACAGCCTCACACTCTGGGGTCTGGGTCTCCACTGACCAGGCCCACACCCTTCTGCCGTGAGTCACCATGCCAGGGGTCTCGAGGGAATCCTTCCATCTGTCTGATGGCCCATCTGTGAAATGCAGCAGAAATAATAAAACCTGGGGCGCCTGGGTGGCTCAGTCGGTTAAGCATCTGCCTTTGGCTCAGGTCATGATCTCAGGGTCCTGGGATCGAGTCCTGTGTCAGGCTCCCTGCTCAGCGGGGAGCCTGCTTCTCCCTCTACCCTCCCCGCCCCCCGCGCTCATGATCTCTCTCTCACTCTCTCTGTCTCTCAAATAAACAAATAAAAGCTTAAAAAAAGAAAAAGAAATAATAAAACCCCCCTCGTGAGGTGGCTGGGAGGACCCGGCGATATCACCCACAGGAGGAACCTTCAGGAACAAGGCAATGTGTAGGGAAAGGCTCACTTGGCCGTCTGTCCAAGCAATCATTAACCAGAATTACAAATTTACAGCATGGAGACATGAAATCTGGAGAGATGGACAGCTCTGCTCTCTAATCACTTTCAGGGGAAGATATAATGCATTGATCGACAGAGACAAACCACAGTTTAGGCTCCAACCAGTGTCTGTGACGAAAACAGCCACCTTGTTAACTTAGATTCACAGAGTGTCTCCATCCTGGCAAGAGGAAGGCAGGGGGGGAGGGAGCTGCTGCTCGTGTGGGATGGTGGGGGGACCCAGGAGCCAGGTAGGGA